GTCTTTTCCAACCTAAACGATTCTATGATTCTGTGATTGTGGGAAATCACAGCTCTGCTGATCATAGGCATATACAGGAGCTTTGGGTTTTTGTATGCGGAAGATGAGTATATGAGAGAGATACATATTTATGTGTGTGTGTATGTATGTCTCAGTATGTATATATACATATACTGATATATAGACGTGTATATGTTTTGGCTCGGATCTTAGTGTCAAAACACAGATCCTGCCTCCATCTGGTTCTTGGATCTGATAACAGAAATGGAAGTGTTCATTTTGAGCTAAATCCCATCAAGGCCTTCCCCTCCAGTTAAAAATTGCTGTTCTTGTGTTGTGGTTTTTTCCCCTTGAAAAACTGCTGGTTCTTACCCAAAGCATGAGTATATATGCAAACAAGTTAATAACATTTTTGCATGCATGTGTATTGCCAGCATTAGTTTTCCCTGCCTCAAATGCGTGGTGTGGTGATAGCTTGATTTTCCAGAATTTGTCCTTTTTCCACCTAGAATGCTTGCAGAGTCTCTGCCTCTTTTTTAAAATATGTATACACAGATAGTGTTTGCAGTTTAAAACATGGAATATAAGTCTTTCCTTCACTGCTATAAAAGCCTTGCAATCCAGCTAAAGTGGGACAAAACTGTCAATTATAAACTATTAATACTTGTAAATACTTGATAGCGGTTGCATCTCCAATTCCCCAAGCTGTGATTGTGTATTTAGCTGCACGTCACACAGTAACACCTTGGCTGCAGCTGCTTATCTTATTGAATTGTTATTTATGCCGCATTTTTCCTCCGGACTTGCTCATTCTCCCAAGACTGCTGAAATATTTAAGGCTGGGAAAATCCAATCATCCTACAACAGAGGGGCGAGAAAATAGACATCAGGAAGGCATGCGGTCATGAAACCTCAGAGATTTTGTTATTGAGCTGTTGGGGGGATGTGAAACGTAGTTGTGTGACTAAAATGTATAATGAAGTTTCTGATAAAAATAAAGAAATTCTGATACATATTTTAAGCAAGTGTCCTAAAAATAACCTCCAGCAGCATTTAAAGGGACAAGCTTTCAAATGTCATCCTCCCTGCCCGCCCCTGCCCCCAAAACAGTATCCCTTTGGTTTTCAGACTGGATATCCAACAGCCTGTTCAGCATTGCTCTGGAGACAGCCCTAGTGAAACCTCCCCTTGGTAGGACCTGGTGTTGTCTTTTTTTCACCCCTTTTTTTGGCAGGATGATGCCTGTTTCTGGCAGAGATGGAGTTAAGGGTTGCTCCGTGGTGCATGCTGGTAAGAGAGTGGTTTGATGGTTGCTGCGAGCTGGGTGCCGTAGTGCTCTGCTAACAGCATGTGGCAAGAATTTATTATGTGAAATGTGGAACTGTAAGTGCAGTGATGCAGCCATCTGGCTGACTGCTGAATAAGGACATTTTCTTTTTTCTTTTTTTTTTTTCCCCCCCATCCTAAAGCTAACAGCCATGTAGCGCATAGCATCTGCAAGAGTGATCCTGCTGTGGGGATGAAGGGTAGGGGCTGCTGGGAGACGGGATCCATCCGTTCCTTCTGCAACGCTGGCTGTCTGAATAAATTTCACAAGGGTTAGTGGCCTTCACGGCGTCCTCCTGCCATCATTGCCGGACGGATCCAGCCCAGCGTACGCTCCCTCAGCATCCGGCATGGTGCCTTTCCCTGCCATGCAGATGCACTGGGGAGCAATGGAGGGGCTGCTCTAGCTAGCGAGGTGCTTTCCTGGGATGGGGAGGGGGGAAGACAGATGGTTGTGTTTGCGTGGCAGCGCAGCATCTTGCCTACAGACGGGGCTCTTGGGCATCGTGTGTTCCATCCTTTCTTGGTTTGGTTTGAGATTTATAAAGTGCATGGCACTTGCTCTTTCTGCTTTATCAGCTGTTTAAAAAACATAGTAAATCACCCATGATTCAGATTTACTAAAGTTTTGCTGCTGAGAAGGTTAAATTTTATGATAGTTTGTTCTTTTTGTGTGCCTTTAATATCACAAAGAAGAATTGGTTTGTTTGTAATGGGTAAATTGGCTCCTGCTGCAGTGTGTTCAGACCTGTTAGATCAGATACATTGTTTTAGTTACTTTGCAGTTGATAAGAAATGAGAGCGTTTCTGTGTTTGTACTGTAATCCACCCTGCCCATGCTTTAGTCTGACTTAACCATGAGAGGCAGAGGTGTTCTCCAGGAGCACCTGAGTGGCGGTGAGCTATAATTTAAGGCTGTACACTATAATTTCCCAACTGCTGTTGCTCCCTGGGTTGTTCCAGGCATTTCCCATTGCCAGTCCCAGGAGAGCTCAGCGCTGGGCATGCAGGAGTGCTGTCCTTTACGGGGCAAACGATGCCCTGCCCAAGTCTGTGCTGGTTTGGGGCAGAAATCCCTGTTTTGCAAGCGCTACCGAACAATTTTGGTGTGTTTTTCCTGGGCCAGATCCTGTGATGAAGCAGGTGGTCCCGCCTTTCAGTTTGGACAATTTTGTGTTGGTTCATCAGTGGAGGGGTGTCGTGGTTTAGCCCCAGCCAGCAACTCAGCACCACGCAGCCGTTCGCTCACTCCCCCAGCCCCGGTGGGATGGGGGAGAGAATTGGAGGAGTAAGAGTGAGAAACACTCCTGGGATGAGATAAGAGCAGTTTAATAATTGAAAGAAAGTAAAATAGTAATGATAATAGTAACAATAATAATAATAATAATATACAAAGCAAGTGATGCACAATGCAATTGCTCACCACCCACTGACCAATACCCAGACAGTTCCCGAGCAGTGATTGCTGCTCCCCGGCCAAGCCCCCCCAGTTTATATACTGAGCATAATGTCATATGGTATGGAATAGCCCTTTGGTCAGTTTGGATCAACTATTCTGGCTGTGCCCCCTCCCAGTTTCTTGTGTACGTGGCAGAGCATGGGAAGCTGAAAAGTCCTTGACTAGCATAAGCAGTACTTAGCAACAACTAAAACATCAGCGTGTTATCAACATTCTTCTCCTACTAAATCCAAAACACAGCACTGTGCCTACTAGTAGGAAGAAAGTTAACTCTATCCCAGCTGAAACCAGGACAAGGGGCCAAGTGAAACCACACTTCTCACACAGCAAAGAAAAGGGATGATGGTGAGAAATGAGGATTTCTAAGATGCTTATAACCTTCCTTCCAGACCCCTGAGGGCTCCTCTGATCCTGGGCACTAACAACTTGTTGCTTACTGTGCTTTATTTATATTGCTGCTGTGCCCAGAGGGTCTGTTCCTGCTGGGAACTGGTGACACTGGGTGATGCACACCTGGACTTCCTTGGTGGTCAAATCCAATTGTTGCTTTTTTGGTGTAATTTGGCATAATTAATAGGCTTAAGGAAGGAAAAGGCATAAATCTTACAAAAATTCATTAGGAATCATGTCACTGTCTTCTGCATGGGATTCATCTCACCTCATTCTAGGTGAGATCATGTTATATCCAATTTAAAAGCTGAAGCCTGATCTCTTGACCCAGAGTTGTCTTTGTTGTCAGTAGAGAACCAGGCATCTCAGAGAACTGTTTGCTGCTTCCCAAAATATGTTGTCTCCAACCCTAAGGGAAGTCTGGGGGATCTGCTAAGATTTGGACTTTCCATTTCTGGCTGTCAGAGGTAGGTGAGATGAGTCATCCCATCTTCTTTAGATACAAGTGTTTAAAGTCACTGCTTCCAAATGCTGGTCCCATTTTATTTTCATTAATGTGTGGTGAGAAGCTGTCTCTGAGCGGTGTGTGAGCATCAGCTGCAGCTTGATCGGGTCCCTGCGCAGTCCACGTGGACACGCGTCTCCATCCTACTCTCAAGCATCACTTCACAAGAAGTTATTTTATCTAAATGTAGTTTCCTTCTGCCAGAAAAAGGCATGAAAGGAGAAATGCAAATAGGTCAAATCAAAATTCAAGCAATTGAGGATTTACAGCAGGCTTCAGATGGCAAAAAGAAAAGCTTTTTTATCAAATCCAGATTGTCCTTTTTCCTTTGGTTTTCTTTTCGAGCTGTTTTTCTAGCTGGGTGACGTAAGGACATGCGTGTAACAGGAGATATGCACAGGCGTGCACAGCAGTTTATGTAACTAGGCTTCAGTGGATAATAACATGCCCCAAAACAGAATTATTCTCACAAAAAGCTGAAACCAGCCTGATTCCTGTTGTGTGAAAATTGAGGGGAATGTGGTGAGTGGTGAGCACCGGAGAAAAGGCAAGTGGGGCTTCAGGGAGACCTTGGTAACCACAAGGCATGAACCTAGGGAGTTGTCTTCCAAGGGTGTCTGAGGTCAGATTATTTCTGGTTTGAGACTGGGAAGGTGTTAGATGGCCTTGGCGTCTTTGCAACAAGGAGTGATAGAGAACACAAAGCACACAAGCACACAAAGCAAAAGTTTTGTTATGACTTTAGCAGTTGAACAGCCATTTGTGGCTGCTGTTTTCCCTTCATGAAAGCGCTTAAAGTCTGTAATCAGGGTTGTCGGATTCATCTTTTTAAAAATAAAGACTGAATGTTCTACATCTATCAGATGTATTACATAGGGTGTATTTACGTAGTGCCCTACCTGGGTTCCTTCACTCTAGATGGTTTTACCAGCCACAGTGATGAAATAGCGATGTGGGAGCGTCCATGGGAGTGTTTAGAGATGTTTCATGTTGTGGAAGTTCTCTTTTATTTTAACCAGCATGAGCAAAGGGAGGAATGGCTGGGATGTTTCCTTGCAGAAGTGAGGAAGGAGCCACCCCTCCAGCTGCCCTCGACCCCCATGACTGCTGGAGGTGGACACACAGGTATCTGCATCCACACAACAAGGCACCGCAGCGGTTTGGGCAGTCTCTGCAGCCCTACAGGGCTTGCTATGACAAGCTTGTAGGGCAGCGAGTGTCCGATGGGAGTCCTGCTTTGCAAACAGGGAGTGTTGCATTGCGTCCTGAGCTGGCCAAGCTGCTTCTTTCGCAGCAAGGAGACCTTGAAGTTCAGCGAGGTAGAAGTGTGCGCCAAGGGTAGGGACTGTTCATTTTCTTTCTGAAATATGCCCTCTCTGCCCTTTTCCCATTCATTTCTAGCAGTCATGGAGGTGAGTTCCTGCCCACGCGTACACGTGGCTCAGTTGGAAAAGCACTCGCCCCGAGGACATGCAGGTGTTGGTGGAAATGGATGTGCTGCTTGGGCACTTGGGGTGCAGGATCAGTGCCAGAGTGGCTGAGTACAAGGCAGGAGATGCTCTCGTCCTCGGAGCTCATCAGCAGCAATCACTAACAATGTGGGCTTATTAGCTGTGTCTTAAATACAAACTGGAGTAATTAGGGAGGAAATGGCCATCTTGACAGCTTGATGGGGTAATTAGAGACCAGAAATGGCATTTATAGAATTGGAAAGGAGATGAACTCCCAGCTCCATCCAAATGGGTCCACAAATAGAGGCCCTATGTACAGCAGAAATGGATTTTTTTTTTTTACTTTTTACTGACTAGGCGGCACTGGCAGCCAGCACAGCGCTTTAGGGGAGAAGATGGTGCATCAGAGTGACTGCCCTTCTCCCTGTCTGTGCTGTTCCCCAGCCAAACCTGGACTAGGGGCTGCTGATGGGGAAGTGATTCCAGGGGTAAATGCTGGTTTACAGGATCTTTTTGCAGTAAATCCTCAATAGTAACTGCTGTGTAGAGAGCAGAGTGTGGTCCAGCCCCAGCGAGCCACTGCCCATCCTGCTTTGTGGTCCTGCAGAGCTGCTATCAAAGCATGTGTCTCTGCAGTTGTTGCTGCTCTGCTTGTAGCTCCTTGGGGGGTCAAAACCGGCTTTACATTTGCTAATCCAGCAGAAAACTAGCCTGGCCATAAGGAGAAATGGTGCAGTGTGGTTCAGTGAGTTGTACTGGCTTGCTGCAGGGGTGGATGAACACTAAGGAGTCTCAAAGTTGAGGCTTCCTGATTGCTCCAGTCGTGGCATGGACTTGGGCAGCTTAGGGGTGGCTTTAATCTGTGGTCCATTAGGGTGAAGGCATAGGAGCTGGGTTCTTGAAACCTCCTCCCCTTCCCAGGGCAGTCATCTACATCATCTCCAGAAAAAAAACCAAACCAAACCAAAACAGGCTAGGTGATCCCTGAATTTGCAAAGTAAAACACAGTGCATGGTACTGTCTCCGGGAAGGGGCTATCATGTTTGAGAATATAAAGATGCCCCAAATAGTGCAAGCCCTGCTGAGCTTCCCTTTTGGAGTTATCTTCCCTGAGCCCCAGCGCAGCCTGGCTATGATGTTGCCGGAGATGGACGTCACTTTGTTGACCTTAGGGCAGGATTTTGATGCCAAAAAGGATTTGGCTCTGTTGGCACGCAGCAGGAACAGTTGTGTAATGACCAGATGAGGGGAGTGCTGTGGTGTTCTGCTCCCCTGAAGGAAAATTGCTGTGGGACATAGTCACCCAAGGCTCGTGCCTTGCAGTGTCTGTCCATTCGGCTGTGTCTCTGTGGCTTGCAGGCTGCTGTACCAACATGCCCCAGCAGACCAGCTTGCGGGGAGCGTGTCGGGCAGAGCCACTCCTGTGTTATCTGTGGCCTTGGGCAAGGAGGAGGAAGCCAACGGGGA